TATATATAGTTTGCATAATATCTAATAAAAATACGTAACTTTTTATAAATTATTTTTATATTATTTTACTTCATATTAATAATATTTAATATAAATTATTATTTTAAAACCATTGACAGAACATTTAACATTAACATTTAAAAATCCCACACATTTAAACTATATTCATATATTTGTCATGGCCTCTAAACAAATGTAAAATAAGAGTTCACATTTAGTTTGACCTCCTGAGTTTGATGATCAACATTTTCTGTAGATTAAGCACTTCTTTCACTGACCATTTGCTACAATGCCAACACGCGACAGAATGCACATCAAATCAACATAAAGGCAAATCAGCGCGTGCCGTCGGTCTGGCAGGGTAAACTAGAGTCAGAGCTTCCCTAGACCTGTTGGATTTCTAATGGATTTCCCTCATTCTGTCCCGCGAGACGAACCGTCAGAATCAGTGTTAATGCAGCCGTCTTTAATGAGAAGAGCAGACTGAAGCCAGCAGACGTTGAATAAATGTTAACGGAGAGAGGAACATTCCAGAACTAATGCAGACCTTCAGCAAGCATTTATCAGCAGCATTCCTCAACCAATGAGAGTCACACGTCACCCAAACAGAGCACCAAATACTGAGACTGGCAAAGAGAAAAGAGTCTCACCGTTGTTCTCCTGCTCGTATTCATTGTGATCCTGCAAAACAAGAGCAGATTCGAGATCAGATGCATTTACAAAACCAACATGGACAGTATTTGCTTCAGCTCAAATGACATGAAGTGCAGTTTTTAACCTCCTTGATGTGACACTGAATATCCAGTGAGAAAATGAAGTGTTTTAATGTTCAGGGAGTATTATTGGACAGTACTACTTCTCTCTGCACACACAGCATTTATTACATCAACAGAAGAGTAAACAAATTTCAAGTTACTAGTTTTGATTCAAGATCATGTTACTAAAAGTGTTCTATAAGAGCAGAGACATTCAATACAGACAAAACAGAAACAAAAGCCTGTAAAAACCAACATCTACAAGACAAGCGGATAAATTCAGTAAGAAATTCCTCCTGTGAAGGACAAATTAATGAATCTGTCCAAATAAAGAGCTCTGTGGTTTTACTGACCCAGAGAACAGCAGTGAGAGTGAGAGTGAGAGTGAGTGTGAGTGTGAGTGAGTGAGTGTGAGAGTGAGTGAGTGAGTGAGTGTGAGAG